AGGACACCAGGACGGCGGCATTGTCCTGTCCTGTTTCCATCTCTGATAACTATATATACACCATAAGTTCGTCAAATACACAACATGGAACAGACAAATATTACTTGATAATTTAAATTTGAGTAAAAAGAAATAGGATGTAGGTGTCAGTATCAGTAAGACTCTTGGTATCGGAGTAAGATATACCCCTGCTCAGGCTCACACCTTACACTCACATCTACCCACAAAGATGCACACAATGCAGTAGGGGGAGATGCGAGTGTGGGTACAGATTTTTCTCGAAATTTATCGACACCAAAGTTGCATCTTGCTCTAAGTGATTATACCATGTTTTTCTACCTTTTCCTCCTTGAAGTGTAAGATCTGACTGTGGCTGTAGCAAGAGATCTGGATATGAATCCGTGCACGATTTTCATTTTCCTTACACCCACATCTACACTCTCGTTCGTTAACCTCTTAAACTATTGGATGAGCCTATTCATTTTTCCCATGAGATCCTTCATTCATTTTGTTCATTCATAACAAACGGCAGAAGTATACAATGACCATTCATACAGATCTTATGAGAAAATAGCTAGCCATATTCAATATGAATCAATAAAATGTTGTCCTTCTTGATTTATCGAATGAAATACTATTCATCATTTTGAAAAAGCCTTAGCAATATCGATGTTCTTTGGATATTGATTATTACCGAGGGTATGGGTGAGTAAGAAAATAAAACATACACACCCACACCCTCAAGATCTATTGTTTGACGTGATTCTGAAATAGGTGGAGACTGATAACCAATTCCTTCTTCATAAATAATTTCATTTGGTTTGATGACTATTATTGCAACACCAGGAATATAAGTATCACCAAGAAGGGATTGGATCAATGCTTTCGTTAGAGAAAATTTAAATTGATGATCTTCTGCTTTTATTAAAGTAATGATCATGAGAAACCAAAATATCTCAATGTTGTTTTGATTCTTTTTCGTTAAATATCATTTAAATCTCCTTAGAATGCATATACGAACAACACAAAGAATTAGTCATACAATAGATATAAAATGCTTTTATCTGTGCCCTTGACTTGACCCATTTTTTTCCTTCTCATTCAAAAAATGTTGACGACTAAGTCATATAAAGTGTATGAACATGTTTTTATCTAAAATGAAGCTTTATTTTATTACATATTTCTTTTAGTTTTGATATACTAGTACTACCACATATGATATTCATCGATGATGTCTAAATAACGTCCTACACTCTAAATAAAAATCGTTTTCTGGGAAACCCAGAAAAATAGGTTTCCGAACGTTCGGAAACCCAAATAGGTTTCCAGACTGACTTCGGAAACCTGAATACGTTTCCGGACTGATCTCGAATACCTTTAATAGGTTCGTGGAAGGAAAAAATAGGTTTCCGACTTTCGGAAACCTTAAAAGCGTTTCATATAGTGACAAACCCGGAAACGCTGAAGGGTTTCCGGAGAAAGCGATCCGTTTCCAAAAATTCGGAAACCCTGAAGGGTTTCCGGGTTTGTCACTATATGAAACGCTTTTAAGGTTTCCGACTTTCGGAAACCTATTTTTTCCTTCCAAGAACCTATTAAAGGTATCCGAGATCAGTCCGGAAACGTATTCAGGTTTCCGGAGTCAGTCTGGAAACCTATTTGGGTTTCCGAACGTTCGGAAACCTATTTTCCTGGGTTTCCCAGAAAACGATTTTTATTTAGAGTGTAGTCAACCTTGATGTACAATTATGCATCGTATTTTCAAGTCTACATTGATTTAAAGTTATTTAATAAGTATCAATCTATGAAAATAAGATAATTCAAAATCAGTATCAAATACAATGACGCACATGTTAATTATTGATAAAGATTATCTGAATTACAGAGTTTATTGCAGTTGTATATATTTATCTACAAATGCAAGTTTCTTTTTGCAACCTAAGTGATTATTTTTTTCCTTTGAACTAAACCTATATGATTAAGTTGACATAGTTTCGTTTCAGTTACTTTTTCGTTGAAGTTCTATAAAAAGAAAAACAAATATCTGTAAAAGAAAATTTCATGACAGTTATCTTTAGATCTATCACTGTTCATGAATTTTCGCAAAGCAAATATTTTTATTTTGTGCAATCAAGAATGATATATTTGGAATGTTTTTAACTATGTAATAGGGGAATATTGGATGATTGATGAAAATTAAAACATTTCAATAGATCTTAGAATGGGTCAAATGTTATCAATTATTTTTTTTTATTATTCTGCAGAACTGAAGACACTAGATGATTGATAAAATTTCAAACAGAAGTAGATTTTAAAATTATCTAAATGCGTTTGATGATTGTGTTTCAGCGAAGGGACATGAGAACAAAATAGATCAAGCAATAAATTTCCTTTTCATTTTTATTTACTTTCTCTGATATCTCACTTTGTTAAACTTCCACTAATGTTCACCAAAGACGACATTTATTTCCACAAAATTGAAATCGATCCTTTATACTAAACCGCATTTTCAACAACAATTCTTTGCTGATAAGAATTAGTGATAGGATCGGTTCATGTTTTTTTGGAACCAAATCGACTTGAATCGATTTGGAGATCAAAGAGAGAAAGAGGGTTTAAAAGCTGTATTGTTTTTTCTAAAAATATGCCTCTAAAAACCTTCATCGATTATGGGGTGTGGGTATGAGTTTGGGTGTTAGTGTAAGTATTGTTCGACAAAACACTCAGACTCACACACAACCACACCCGAACGTGTTCTGTGGCCGTTTTCCTCGACATATATTACTCAGCATTGAAAGATTATAATTTCTACATTCATCTGCTTAGTCACCAATGAAATTATCAGTATATGAATGATTATTCATTAACTTTAAAAATAACATTATTTCCAAATGATTTTATTCCACTCGCTTATAAATCTCGGTTTTGTTTAAAATATATAAAAATTGAGTGTTTGCCAAAAAACCATATCCATCATTCTTTTATTCAAAGCTAAAAATATTAATAAAAGATGTCGCACAACAAAAAAGTGAAAGATTTATAGAAAATCTTTCTTCAAAAAAACACGATTTTCTAATGATTAGTTTAAAACCATATTTATCATTCTTTTGCATTATTCCCACTCTGATTACATTTTCGTGTGGGACTTTGTATGTGTCAGTTATTTTCTCTCATGTCTTTCCTATTGCATCACACTCTTTTGTCAAGTATATGTTAACAACAGAACGAAAAAATTTCACAATGAAATGACATTTACGTGTGTGCTCTGGTTTATTCTCATGTTACGACATTACAAAACTATATAAAAGACGGCTACTACTGTGACAGGAAACAATTTTTGTCTTAAAAGTGACTCGAAGTAAAAAAAGATGTTAAGTGTAAACTACACAACAATGGGATTCACAACGGATCTTCGCATATGTAGTCAACGTCATCAACAAAATAAACACATCGCTCGAAAGAAAAAGAATCAAAGGTTTCTGCTATCCCATTTACATTTAGGTATGATATAGAGTACATTTACAAGATTTTCAAAAATCATGAAACATAGTGTAAAAAACATCGAGTAAAACATATGTTGCTAATTAAAAGATTTATTTGAAACATAGACCTATATTAAGAGTGATGTCAAAATTAATCACTAGATAGAGATATGAATATTTTAGAATTTGTAACTTTTATGGTATTGTAATGCCTATCAAATACGATTGAGGTTATCGATCTGATGAACATTCCCTTTCTTTATATATATTGAAGTGTTATAATTTGTAAGACTATATATTCAATAATATTTTCTGTTTGTTTAGGTATAACAAATAAAACTCGATCGGCTAGATCTTGGATAAGAGATCAATTAATTGATTTCAAAAATGATAACGTTGAAGAAAACACTAATTGTTACGATGATATATATTTAGAACACAGTTTAGAACAGATAGACATAGAAACTTATATCAAAGCACAATGGAATGAAATCTTTGAAGCTATCAATAATGATAATGCTGATCTTCTCGACTATCTTATACCACCAGTTAATATTTATAATTCTAAGGAAAAATATTGGTCCAATGAAAAATATTATCAATATTGTGAAGATTCTAACATCCTTTTATACGCTATTCGTGATGGACGTATAAATTGTATTCGAGTTTTATTGGACAAGGTTTATTCCGGTGATGTTAATCCAGATATATTACAAGGTAATTGTTGGTTCGGTGAAACGCCACTATCGCGGGCATGTGAACGTAGTGATATGAATCTTGTTCGAGAACTTGTTGAACGTGCTCATGTTGATATTAATCAAGGTGCTTTGTTAGGAATCGCTGTTAGAAAAGATCATCAAACACTAGTCGAATATTTATTGACTCAAGGATGTAATTATCAGAATACATATGACCAATTTATATTGCATGATGCGTCTGCTCGTGGTCATTCTGAAATTGTTAAAATCCTTTTAAAATATGGTGCTGATCCCAATACATTAAATTATTCTGGTTGGACTCCTCTTGATTATGCTATAGATCAGAGAAATTTTGATGTTGCTGAAATTCTCATATCTTATTCACATGGTAATATCAAAGAAAATGGTAATCATTTTACACCATTGATGATAGCAGTACATTATGATTTAAGATCGATTGTTGAATTACTTTTTAAACTATTACCAATTGATCGAGCTGCTGATGATCTATTACGATTAGCTTGTCGATATACAATCGATCTTAACATGTTAAATCATGATATGGCCTTATATTTTTTTGTACAGGGGTTAAATGGAAAACAAACATCGAACAATTCTATTATTAATGAAGTTTATGAATTTCGACAAGAATGTCAAACATTAAATCAATTAGAAAGTATACAAGAGGATGAAAATGCTATGAGAATGCATGCTTTACTTGTTAATGAACGAATTTTTCTTCAACGTCAAGATCATTCTAGTTATATTGATTTAATTGAGAAACAATGTAATTATTATTGTGATCAACATTTATACTATCGTAGTCTTCAATTACGTTTGCACGCATATCAATTGATGATTCGAGTTCAGAATGATTGTCCAGAAGCACGAAAATTATATGAAAATAGTTTGAATAGATTAGTTGACAATTTACAGAGTATATTAATACAAGATGGTCTAGTGCCTATTGACTCCTTAGTTATTATATTCAATTTGATTTTTGAACAATATGTGCCAGCAATGAAATTCAGTCAAATGAATCTTCTGATTATCATAAGTTTTGTAAGTACATACAATTACACTCAATGCTGATAGTACATCTGATAATTATCTATGTTTCTGTTGATATTTCTTGAGATGATATTCTCTTCTCATTAAAAGTTACTTATCTATATTATGTTATGACGTAACATAGTGAAGAGCTTCTTATACCTATGCATCCGAGGATTTTTTCGCTAAAATTGATAGCGATTGGCCACTGTTTTATCCAAGTTTTTGCTTCAAAGTAAAATGTGTCATATTGATGGTTTCAAAATATTTATATTTTATAAGTTATGTAAAACTTATTTTGTTTCATCTATTCCAAAAATATCGACCAAATCTATTAGAAATCAACTAGAAATACATACACAAAAAACTACTGCAAGAAGAAGGGTGTGGGATGTGATTGAAGAGACGAACTACACCCACACCCACACCTACACCCTACGATATTTGTTCTTTTTTTGCTTTAGATGATTCAATCGAAGCAGGTGGTAAACAAAGAGAAAAACGTGCTTTTCAAGCTTCTGCAAAAAAGTGTACAAGATGAATCGCCTGAAAGAAGTTTTCTTGGTTGTTTTATTCAACGATATACGGGATATACGCCAGTACATCAATTTGGGCAATATAGGTATGTTTGAATCAATCATTTTTTGGACCTATTGTAGTTTCATATATAGAAATATAACCACTAGAATAAGTAGAATTGTTTCATAAAATATCTTATTCAACATGAATTATTTAAAAAGACAAGAGTTTGAAAGAGTATGATGCTTTCTACTTTGACAAGAAACAATTATTGTATATTTGTATTAAGCACTATTGAAATACATGAAAGAAAAAATATATTCTTCTCTCATTTAGTATTACAACATTATCCATCATACGTTTACTGATTCAATGTGGAGCAGATGTAAATCAAATTTGTGACAATTATAGAAATCGACCATTGCATCTTATTGCAAGATGTTTTAATACTGCAATGGTAAAACCTGTGATGGAATTACTGTTGATTTCTGGTGCGCATCTAGATGTCGTAAATTCAAGGAATCGCTTACCAGAAACTCTAGCAATGGGATATGATGTGAAAGCATTATTTTGTGAAAGTAAAAAACTATCACTCAAATGTCAATGTGCTCAAATAATTGGTTCGTCGAATATGTATTATGAGCACTATCTTAATTCATATCTAACTGCATTTGTTCGATTACATAGTCGTCCAAAACCAAATGAAATTAGATACTTCGATGATTGGAGTGACTCTGACTGGTGAAAAATTAATATTGAATATTTCATGATTTCAACTTCTTAGAGTCTAGAAAATCTTCATCCGATCAATATAGTCAAATCAAACAATACTATTTTATATAATCATATATTTATTCAAATAATTTATGTGTAAATCACTCATACTTTTTTCACCAACCATTTAACAAATATTCACGTTGACTAATGGAGTCCTAGCCGAATGAGATTCATCCCAGATTCGGAACTAGAGTCTACAAGACTCGATTCCTTCTCCCGAAAAAAAAAGTATACGGCCTTAAAAACATATTGTGTACAAGTGCATTGGCTTTAATCTTATCGTACAAGCAATCTTTTATCAGACACATCGTATTTTATCTGGGTAGAATGTATGTGCATGTCGAAAGGTTATATTTCAATGTATCGTTGAATGGTCATAAAAAACATACATCATATATTGCACATTGCCCTGCAATGTTTATACTTGCTTTTCTCTCTTTGTGCAACTTGATAATTGTAAAATACACTGTCCTTTTAGAACCGAGACAGTCAGAGAGTTTTATTCGGCAAAAAACATATTCATGTTGACTAAAACAATTCATACAAAATGATCAGTCTATTGACAGTAAGTAGTCAAATTGGTCTTTATCTATTATCAACACTTTTGCATTTATTAATTCAGATATTCTTTCTTAATGCTATTTTGTCTTTGCATTTTTTTTTGAATATTTTATTAAAATAAATAAATTGGTGAGTTAAGCAGGAATTTGCAAGAAATTCTCGCTTCTAAGAATAACTAGGGTGTGGGTGTGGGGTGTGGGTGTGGGTGTGGGTGTG